CGGAGTTCAACCACAAAAATCAAACAGTTGTTAGTCATATGATCGGGTAAGGTTTCGTTTAAAGTCAGTGTGGAGTACAGATACATACTACTATGCACATGGGGCTATGCAATTTGTTCTGCTACGAAGGACAAAAATTCTTGGTATGTCAATTTCCCATCACCATTGATATCATGATCCTCAATCCAGGACTGTAGGGTGTTCAGTGTAAAACTCATGCACATTTCATCAAACATCGCCTTCAGTTCTCTCACATCAACTTTTCCTGACCGATCAGCGTCCAGGCAGTTGAAAAGTCGTTTCCATCTATGAGGAAAGGCTGTAAGATATTTAGAATCCCCGGGCATCAGTAAATAACAAGTTAGAAACAACCATATCTTGAACGAATACAGTTGCCAACCCCGAACTTAAATAATTTCCACCAACTTTAGGTAGCTCGCCTGGATATCTAGAGATAATGCGATGCTGGTCGTTGAAAGCGCTTTGCTAGAATGGTCGTGATAAACTTATGAATAAACTTATTGATCTATAATATTCTTCCAAGGAACTGTTAGAGTTATCAGATGCTCCCAAAAATTACTCAGAGAAACAGTACAAACAAACAGTGTGGCGGTGAATAGCGAATCATTGTGTTCTTAAGAACCACTTTCCATTAGGACGCTTGACAATTCTTCAAAAATTCTTGATAAAATGCAGTGAGGTTCGCGACTAGTTGTAGGAGGCTAGAACCGAGAATTGCCTGAAAATCCACGCTACTGACAACTTGCCAGTAACCACTGCTAAAGTGGTTCCGAACCATACACTTTTAGCTTTGCAATCACCGAGTTCTCACAGCATTTCCAGTGGCAATTAAGCGATTTCACTTTGTGATGTTTCTCTACATAAAGGCGAAACGCGTTTCCATTATACGTTAGTCACTCATTTGCTGGGACAAGCCGTCTTTCTCCGAAGCAACCAGAGATGCCTTCCAAATCTGATACTGGTCAAAGTACTTATCGTATACGGTGTCAGTTAGTACAACCGCTACATGACATGCCTGCTCTTGTGTATCTCAGACTTCCCAGGGAGCAAAAGACTGACTTCAGTATAACACTGTCGTCAGTTTGCCCGACATCTATATAGTATGCCAATAATATCAAGAGTTTTGTAAACTCCGTGTTCCGTCCTGTAAGTGACGCTATCCCAGGCTAAGAAGCCGGGAAGACCGGTGCACAATCTTCATCCATAGTGAGAATCACCAGCAGCGTGCGTCTCGCAAGTCACCGTGGTCACCAGGTTACTGGTCAAAAACGAAAAAATTATTGTTATTTGGACTAATCGGACCTGACGATCCTAACATCTAACCTCCCCTTAGATAAATTAATTTCGTTCCGGTAGTTTATTTTGCATTGCTTGTAGAAATTTTAGCGGTGAATCTATCCTGTAACTAAAACCTGTTAATCCAGAGAAGCCAACAGACGTGCTGATAGTCTCTTCGGACGACGAATTCTCGGATGGGAAGATCATTCTCCATATGAAGAACCCATTGCCGGGGATCGCAAGCTCCTCGGACTTTCGTGTCCTTCCCAATAAAAATTGAACGGCTGTACAGTGCTGAAAAGCTTTTCAGCATAAGTTAACTTTACTTAGAAGACGAATGTTTCATGGTAGTTTCATGGTATCTTCTAGCAGAAAGTTCCAACTATATTTCGTATTTTTCAGAAGCCGGATAGTAGCTGTGAGTTTTCTCTCATCTGTTGAATGCCATTTCTGTGGGCAAAGTTAAACACAATCGGCTGAACGTTCAACCCGGGCATACCGTTTATTCATAGTGTCTAAGAATTAGTCCTTGCTCATCTGGCTACTATGTTAGGAATCCAGGCAGCATGTAATAAATTCCTCTGTTCTTAAGGGTAGCCTAATAGCATCACACAAGGGTATGACATAAGGGTAGCCTAATAGCATCACACAAGGGTTTGATTGTGTGATTTGTTCATAGAATATCTTCCTAATATGACAGAACAAAACCCTCCGTAGTTCTGGTCTACTGCGACTTCAGTGAGTTGATGGTAGCTACTTTTCTTCGGTGATACACTGGAATCTGAACTCAGAGATAATGCTCGGAGATAACGGTTATTCAAAGTTACGTTAAGTAGAATCTGTTTTGTGTCCAGTTGCCTTTGAAGGCCGTTGCAAACAGGTAAATCCAACACAGTCTATCGTGTGAAAACATTCCGTTGCTGCCAATCGCAGCACTTTTCGTTCGACCCATGTCTTAAGCTGAAAATCTCGGTATACTCTCAGCCATTTGGTTTACTTAAACCACAGGGAAATCATAGTCGTTTTTCTCTTCAAAGGATATCTTCCTGAACAACACAGAACCTGCAAAGAGACAACACGCGCGTTTACCGCTGCAACCTAACCGGCGTAGGTCGCAGAATTAAAAGTCTGTCGCATCACACAATCTTGTTCACATGGTGATCGTTTAGAACGCATTGTTTTGCAAACGTTTCCTTTTCCCAGAGCATATTTCACATGTCAATGCCTATTTGGCCAAAAGAGTTAGACCAGAATTGCGACGTACTGCTATATTGTCCAGAAAACATGTGAGAATTTTGCTAGTGGATCAGGTGGTGGTTGATCTCCTCACCAAGCTTGGGGATTGACTTGCAGAAGTTTGATCACCATTCACAGAGAAGTAGTCAATGCGCTGTTGGGCGGGCGGATACTCTAAATCGGCCTTTAGTAGTTAAACATCTCTCGATCCAGTTATTTAACTTAGTCGCGAGTTTCATTGATTTACGCCATCTGATCATTGAATACCTAGAAGCCCAACAGGTAGAGTAACATCGTCGCAAGAAATTGCCTATAGCATGTTCCAAAGGTTTCACACAATGTGTTGTTTTCCGGCTTCATATTATCAAGTGCTTAACATGAAGAAAGTTTTGATTATTCCAGAGACATATATGCTAACTCGCAAACTATCAAACCCAGCAAAATCCTTCAGAAACTATGGTTCACAAGCTCATCGATATCCTCACCTCCATCATTAGTCTAATCAGTTTTGTGTCCGCGAACAAAAGCTTCTATATGACTGACGACAGACCGATACGTCTGAGAATGACGAAACGGCCATACTTGAAATATTCAGGCTGCTGCACTTGTGGTTCTATTTGTTTCGCGTTTTTTTGCCATGGTGTAGATTTCTTCAAGACGATTCCGGAACGGTTCTCGTGGTTTCTTGAAATTTGTCAGCAAGTATACCTCTATGATTGCTTTTTTCGGTCTTCAACTCCTCTCTTTGTTCCAGAAGGCATGATCCTCGGCCTACTAGACTGTGTGCTCTGTGTCCAAGAGTTTACCCAAATAGTAACTACATGTACCATTAGAGCATGCCCTAATTTCGTATGGTACGAAAATCTGACGAAAGGGGACACCTTAGCTCAAAAGTCACTTGTCATCTGACGAAATGTGATTGTGATGAAGATCTTTTTGCTTCACCGGGCCGTAATCTGGCATAACGTCCATAAATTTTTCTTATAGCTCTTGGTAGAGCTCTTCTTGTTTGTAGCGTGTCGGTTGCTCACTCCAGTGCGTCTCTATACCGACCGAGTACTGAACTGAGATAGTTCAAGCAAGCTGGTTCATGCTCAAACTAAAAACACACTAGACCAATGAGGGACGGTAAATACAAACGTCACATAAGCAGTTGCCTGAAAGAATCAACGGCCTGCTATGTTATTATTATAAACACAGTTAAACACAGTACACGCGACTAATCATTAGCGTGAATTGTGCAACTACGATAGCGATGCTCACTCATTCCACATGCTCACAGCTAGCTGAGAGGACCTGTGCTTATGCACAAACCGTATTTTGTGACGTAAAATAAATACTTCAGTATATTTTCCCAAATAGGACTGATTTCCCTAATCCCTATTCACTTGGATGACTTTCAGCAAACATCTTTGTTTCGCTATCGGAGCTAAATGTTAGAGATCTGGGTTTGCAAGTTACAATTTAACTGGGCAAATAGCTTTTTGCAATTAATAGCCAAAATCTACTGGTTTTGCTCATAGATAGAAGGCCTGTTCTTCTGGAGGGTAGGAAACTAAAAGTCTTCAACCTAGTACGGTTCAAAATTTTAATGCTACTGGTTAAGACCTTTTTGTAATATCGTCATCTTTTCCAGGTTATATGAAGAAAGGGAAGAGCTGACAAGTACCTAAGTGATTGCTTTAAAAAGCTTTGCTTAAAAGACTATCATAAATATCAAGGAACTGGTATTCACTTTGCTATTAGAGAACACGTTTTTAAGATTTATGATTGTACATGATTTTTTTACAACGGTGAAATTTGATTCAATCTTATGGGTTAGGTTCTGTACCGTTATTTTAAGACCATTATAAAAATCCAAAAATCAACCCAAGCTCTGTTCATCACATACGACTGCCTCGCGAGAATTTCTCTCAGGGGGTCTCTGCGATTTCACTTGCCCACAGATGCACTGTGCTGGGTGACTGGATTCACAAATAACGGAGTAATGATAGTCAAAACCTAACCTGTTTCCTGGCCAAAATCTTTCTCACCCTCCTCAGTGGGTTTGAAATTTTGAAGTGTCGCTCTTCGAAGAACAAAATGTATTCACCAGGTTTAAAGTACAAATACCGAAGCTTGAAATGTTATTTGACTCCGAAAAATACTTAAAAATTTAAAACTAGGTTTGTGGGTGTGTGTCTGGTGGCATGTCTGGTCAAAACATCTTAGTTCATATCATTAACATGGACATCATTTAAAGAAACAATCAAAAGTGTTTAACTCACTCGGCTATTGGCTCATCGGTTAATCCCATGACGAGTCTGTATTCACCTAAAGTTATATGCCCATCTTGGTTTACGTCCAACTCTTGGATTATGCGCTGAAATCGACGAGGAATATTTACTTCAAATTTCGGCGTAACATATCAGAGTATGCATCAGTCACACTGTACGACTGCACGACGGTACGTCCGAAGGACTTACCTGTATTCTATATTGCGGCTGACTTTTACCAGGGCAGCGAAATTGCTACCAGATACCAAAGTGCGGTTGAAATTTTGTTGGCGAGGCACCTTGGTGTGGGTGAAAAGCTGTAGGGTAGTGCAACCAATGTACGGACCGTTGGAAACACCTGAGTGCTACAATATGAATTATCGGTGCCAACAGTGGCAACTCTTCAGTGTTTGTGGCAATAACCGACCGGATTTCGAAATAACACAGCACTCGGGCGCTATTAAAGCTACTTCGGACAGTGATAGAGCTTACATTAATTGGACAGTCCAACACCAATTGAGCAAATGAATATCACCAGTTTCGGATGAGTCAGCTTTCTTCGAAAGCAACACCACGGGCGAAAGTTTCCACGTGGCAAATCTGGAGTCTGATGAATGCAGTTCCCTGCTTCGTCTTTAGGATTCATTGTGACGTGATTTCGCACACCAGCATGGCGGATGGATAACTGGCGCTGTCAAACGCAACCTGATAACTCAGTCGAGAGCGGAACCTACAGGAATACATGACACTAATCGCCTGTTAAACGGCCGACGTAGCAGTTTTCCCGATCCAATAGATTATTTGGTCGTTTCCTCTTTTTCTCCTTCGACTAATAATGGACGGATAGAGTCATTTCCTTCCACTTTTGGACCAACGAATGCGGCCGGCTTCCTTAGAACCTTTGACGAACAAACCGGCCGATGTAACACTTCTGCTGTTACGCAGTTAGTAATTATATTCAGTTCGTGTTTTTGAGTGAAACTTACTAGTCTCAAGAAAGTTCAAATTATCCGCACTTTCATTCTAATTAATCTGGATTCGAGTAGTGTTTTTTCAAAGAAGAAAATTCGTTTGTTTGTTAAGTGCAAAAAATTATACAAAGAGGTATACTGGTCACTCCAAATTTCATGCTTTGTACTCTGTTCTGTAGCACAGCACCTAATAGCCAATTAGGAAGGAGTAATATTTAGTTTTATTGCTCTTTCTCTGTGTGGTCGTGCGCAGAAGGGGACGACCGTAGAACTATTCGAATTATGGTCGCTATCATGTAAAACGAAAATACACCGGCAGCGATCTCGATGAATGTAGCTCAATGTGAGTCAAGTATTTTTGTATAATTTTTTACCATACGGCATATTACTTTCTTAACAAAGATATATTTGTATGGTGTGACACAAACCACTAGACAATTCACGTCACATTTTGGACTATTCCATTGATATTTTGGTTTTATTGCACTTACTGTATACTAATTAACATCACGTAGGATTTTTGGTCAGCTGGTTGGGCATGTTTTCCATCCTAAAAATGAATCTCTGGAAAGTTAACACTATATACATGCATTCGCTTTGTTGGGAATTTCAAAGATGCACGATCACAATCTCTCGATAAGTGGAAGTCATTAGCATATTGCACATCACAGTACTTCAAAAGGCTCAAGAAACGTGGGTACTTAACAGGCTCCGACCATATTGCATTAGGACTAAAGACATGATAAAAATCTGAAGAAGACGAGGTCCTGATATTACTCTCACAACAAGCTGTGCGCTGACACATCATAACATTCGTGTATTGTAAACTGCAATCTAACCTCTGCATTTTTTCCTGGAATTCCAGCTTCTTTAAGAGAAACAGCCAGTTCTTCTCGGTCCACGGAACCATTGCCATCACGGTCCAGACTTTGGAAGAGCTCTTCTAACTGTTGAGCAGAAATGCCGTGACACATCCTGATTTTTCCAAGGGCTAAGGTGCGTTCTGTTTTCTGTAAAATAATCATCCGTAAAAAATAAGATGAGATCTTCACGATGGTGAAAAAATATATTTTTGAGTATTCCTAATCCTAGTGTATGTTCATTTTTATTGAAGATGATGACACTCTGAGGATTCCGGTGGTAGCTCATAATGTATGTATTCTACAGCTGACTGCAGTCGATGTCCAATTTCCTAGTCAACATTGGTTTTACCAGCAAAGACTTGCGCACTTCATGACAGAGCCCTATTTGAGGCCTATTGCAATCTCACTAAACGCTGGTGTACATTCGAGGGGCGAAGATTAGCAGGTAAACTTGCAGAAGCTTTTTGCAAGCTTTAATCGGTCCAAACGTGGTAGTAGTAGTAGTACGAAGAGCATCATTCTCCTGTTTACTACTGATTAAACAGTATCATCTATCAAACTACACCCTCCGCTAAAGCGCTGTGGTTAGATTATATTTTCTAGCTGATCCTACTAAAAATAGAATGTGTCAGTTAACGTATTCATTCGGCAAGTGGATTCATATATACTCACACCAAGTGTTCATGAAACACAGGCAACTGAAGGGACAATCATAGAGAGACTCTATACTCAGAAGCGGTTCAACTAGTAAAACGTTACGTGATATTCTACTTTCAAAATTGGATTACGTTGAAAAACATTTGATGATTCCAGTTCTACAGGATGATTCAACTTTGCAAGCCAAGCCGTAAGGGCTTATTAAGCTCGCACTCCCTTTAAAACTAAGTTATACAGCAAACTTCCAGGAAGGGATTGACATTATTGGTCTGGTTGGCAATAGAATGGCTCGAGATTAAATGCGCGAATTTACAAATTATCTTGTCTCTAACTGGATACTCATCCAAATCGCACCTCTGTGATGGTATTTAAGCAAATTTACTGCACAAAGGGCCTCACACAACGTGAACGTTCGTCATTGTGATGGGCAACAAAAGATCTGTTTACATCACTTTCTTCAACCAAACTATCGTTTCCACAGATGAAGATTAAAACTTTTGGCATCATCTCCCTGAAACAATAATAACTCTTACTCTGATTGTGCGATTAAGTTATTTTTGAATCCGCTTCAAAATTTGATCACATTTGTTTCACAGGTGATAATGCGCATTTAAAACTTAAAAAGTAGTCGCACCACAAACATCTGTTCCTTTAGCATGAAACCCTTCGGTTGAACCATAATTCACTCACCAAAACCAGAACTGAAAAAATGCCAATGCTCTTGTTTTGAATGATTTTAAAGATCGTTCTCAACTGTATGGTCTCAACATCAGTATTTAACGTAACGAAGCATCGACTAACACGTGAATAAGAACTCGCTAAATGACACATACCTACCCACGTGCGTAAACGTTTACAGATATGACGGTGTACAAATCAAACTCGGCAAAGTGTTCATTTAAAAAAAGCTCAGATATGAAGTGTAACACGGAAAAAGGAATGTGACGAACCCCACGATTATTTTAAGAAGTTCGACTGTTGCAGTGATGAACACTGTCTGACAAGAATAAACGGTATAATACTAACGTTCGGATCGATAGTAGATCAATCCAAGTCACGATTCCGCATATGTTTCATGCGTATCCTCGCTTCACATACGATTGATTGCAAAATTGAGCATGAGCACAGCTGCACATGTTAGACTTATTTGTGTGCCAGTGTTAGAAATACACACACATTTGGTTTCATCATTGGAATACTTCTAGAAAAACATTCCGTGAGTTTTTTCATTTCACAAACGCGCTTCACACTTCGGTCAAACATGCGCCTAAATATTCTTTTTTGTGGAGCGTTCAACAATGTAACTAGCGAATGACCTTGTATATGACGTTGGAATTAGAGGACCACCACTCGCTCTTATATGGGAGGGTGTAACGAATCTCGATTCTCTAGCTCAATGGATGTGTCCAACAATGCTACAAAGAACACCAAAACCTGGAAATGTGAAGTTAAATTGTGTGAGCTTCTGAGATAAACGGACGCTGCAGAGACAGAAGAGCGCTAATCGCTGCTAATCGGAACTCTATGATCTGGTGCTGGAAAATAACAGCAGAGTTGCACCAACCAATCTGTCTAGGATACGTCAATGACTCTTTGAAGCTCACATCTGAATGGTAGTGTCCGTTTTTGTGATCTTCCTTGTAAGGCGATTAGACTTATCAAAGCCCGGCAAAAGGTTGCCGCAAACTTGGAGCTGTTTTCTTCCGAATGTCGCGCTCTCTGCGGGCATTCACGTGATTCCGCTTTGCCGGAAACAGCCTATTGGCTAAAAACCCGGCAAAAGGTTGCCGCAAACTTGGAGCAGTTTTCTTCCGAATGTCGCGCTCTCTGTGGGCATTCACGTGATTCCACTTTGCCGGAAACAGCCTATTGGCTGAAAGACAGAATTACTCGCCGAACTGTTTGTGATTCGAACTTAACCTCGACATCTAGACTGCCCTCATCAAGGCTCGGATAACCTAGCAGTTTCTCAGCTCTCGTGCTTTCTCGGGCAGGCTAGAGAGCTAGGCATCGAAAGGATGTTACTGCTGCACGATTGTTATTCATTTTTGTCCAACTCGAAAACACAGAGAAAGAGGTCAATAATGAAATGGTACCTCACAATAAAGTGCCTTTTTCTTCTTTAGATGCTTTCAAAAGCATCCACAAGCAGGTCCTTCGGTGCTTCAAAGATTACCTGTCGGGTGTCATAAAAATCTACTTTACGCTTCATCTTTCAGCACCAAGATGGAAGTGAACAACTATAATAATGATATCGCAAACGTTTCGTGCGTATATTTATGACCGAAAACCGTATCCGATTAGCAACCTTTGACTAAGATAACTCAGGCGCAGTTTTTCGCTACTCACGTTGTTTTTGGAAGGAGAGGCCAAAAATAGTAGGTAACCATAACAGTGCCACCTGAAGTGCCCTTACCCAGAGCTTCCTGTGAAAGAAGGTGCTCGTCGTGAGCAAAGTTATCTTTTATCCCCTCACGGATAAAATAGCATATGTGAAACGTTTCACCTCAGGAGATTGAAAGTCAGTGTGATGGGAGATTCGAATACGATCACCAACACGTGTGCCCGTCATTTCATCCTTTGGATTATGGAGTAATTTCAGGGCACAGAAACAAAAAATTTGTTTCGGATTTCTATGGAACGTTGGAAGTTTCATACGAAGAAAAATTACATGCACGATAGATGCGGGCAAGCCAGCTGTAGAAAATGTTTGAAATAGAAAGATATTCGCGTAGTTGGGTGTTTTCATTGCTTGCAAGGATTTGGGGATAGGTAGCAGATGAGCCACTAATACCTAAAAATTTTATCTGCAGACAGTTTGGTAAGCAGCTTACCGGGAGAACCTGAAAGCGGAAAATTAATCCCGTTCGCGTACCTCCGATATTGAACCCGTGATCCGCTTTAATAGCTTAGACACAGAAGCTATGGATTTCTAGCTCAGCCGAGTAACGTTATACGGAGGACAAAAAAGAATGTTTTCCATTGAGGTAACAAAATTTGAGTAGTATTTGCACAGCGGAAAACATTTCAAAGTGAGCTTATTACAAAAACAATATTGCCATTTTAGTAAGCCATATTCAGTTGCGAATTAGTTTGGTTTGAACAAGAGATTAGAATAAATCCCAACCGAAATTTCTCATTTACTATATTCTTCAACCAGTTTTTGCCTTTGTGATCAACATCCGCAAGCTGTGGCGTTTTCTCTTACAGCAATTTCCCTCATGTACACTGTATGCACCATCAGTAGGAATTACCAGCATGGATTGTAAAACTATCATTTGAATGAAGCCAGGAGAAACGTGTTCAGCAAGTGGCGTTATCACTGCGCCACGTGCAATGTGGCATATTACATGGGTCATTGTTCGGCCTCCGACGGTTTGTACTCGTCACCTTAGCTCAAGATTTCCCTCGCCTGTTTTTAACGGCTCATAAAACTGTATGACAAATAAATCTACAGGATACGCTAAGTTCAGAGCGTTATTCACGGGACAGGCAATTATTCTGTGAGAAACCAACTCATCTCTGAAGTCTGCACATGCAACGTTGTGCCGCAGTGCTAACTTAGACCCTGTACTTGCATAATCACGTTTCAAAACTGGTTTCCCCGAAACCCAAACTCTGAGTTCTTAAACATTCATCATTAAGCTGTTGCGTCCACTGTGCGTGTGCCTACCCCTTAAAGGGAATATATGAACCTGCAACTTTCTTCCGACTTCAGTGACACATATCCACCCTCAAATCAAACGGTCATAGCTAAGAGGCTGTCGGGAAACACTCGTGCCTTCTCAAGAATAAATACATGAGTTGGTAAGATGTTTTGGAAATCTAATCTTAGCTATATCTGCAAAAGGAAAAACAACGCTGTTTGCTGTTTTGTCCGAGAAATTGCAAGCATTTTGCCACCAATTGAGATGGAATTAACTGTGCATGCAGTGCCATCTTGATATACCACCATCACCCAGGTATAAAACCCTACGATCAATCTATTGACCAAGTGTCATAAGACTTGTATCTTGGATTCGTTTGGTAATTACTCTTCAGGTTCTTCCCATCGGCTTCCAGCTTCCAAACGATTTGTCGTCAAATACAGATAGATTATCAGTGCGCGCAATTAGGTATTCCATGGTCTAATGAGTCGATCTGGAGTAACGATGATGTCCTGTCTTCTAGATGAAGTCAGCCTTTCACAGTTTTATCGAATCAGATGGGGATAAACAAAATCCACGTCCACATACTTTTTCATGTACTTGTATCACCATCTGAAAGTAACAATGCAGTTTTTCAAGGATTCAGTCGTTATCATATCTTTTCAGGGAACTAAGCGTGTGTGGTGAAGTGAGACTATTTTTACAAGCACATGTGAGGATGTTTTAAATTTACAGTTGATATACCGTACTATAAGTGAAGCCAACTCATAGTGGATGGCTGAAGAGCCAGAAGTTTACCTCATCAACAAAGGCCGTCTAAGAAATGCTTGGAAGGATCGGGCGCAAATCGCTCCAGTTGGCAGTTTGGTATCAGACAAATTTGACCAGGCGCGACTGGTTCGCACTGTGTTGCCATTCGTTCAAATTCATTTCCGAGAAGTTTCTAAGCCAAACGAAAAAGCGATTCAGAAGTAAAGCGTAGCATGTATTTGGCTTTCAGATGTGATAACAGCAACATTTGTGATCCGGTGCAAATAATCAATCGTGTTCATCCATCAACATAAGTGTTCTGCTACAAATCCAAGAAATTCTTTGTAGTTAACCTTTCCATCGTTGTTCACGTCGCATTCACGAATCCAATCCTCAATCAAGCTTGTGCTGTAGGAAAGCCCCACTTCACTGAAAAGTCCTCTGATCTCTTCAACCGAAGCTGTGCCACTGCGATCTTGATCAAGCATAGCAAATAGACGCTTCCATCTGAAACATACCACAATTAAATTGGTTTCGAAACGCTTTTAAAACGTGGTGTAAAATATCAATTGTTAAAAATGACGACAGCAGTCCTCCAAAGGACGTGAATTTTACATTCTTTATTGCTACCTGAAGCGCCATACACCTGTTCAATTTGCTGCTCTGCATGTAAAACTTTCGGAATCCGGGTTACTGAAGCTGTTGTTAAAAATACCTGCTTTCGTCTGACAAATTTGTCATTCCACCACGTTGGTAAGGTCTCCACTCAAAACTGGTAATACATTGGATATATTTTGGTGACTAGGGTTTGGGCTCCAGTGTTCACAAAATCAACCGGGGAGGTCCTGTTCGAGTAGAGGTAAGATAACGTACTAAACATTGAAACATTAACCACGCACGAATAAACTAGTGGACCTAAATTCGTCTTGCTGTCTATGTCGAAGCGCGCTACTGGAATTTGTCCAAGATCATTAAACTTGGTCGGATGAAGATGGATGATAGATTGAGAAGGTAAAACCTGGAGAGTGGACATAACGCGATTATACATCGTTGATGAAAAGAACGCTTTGAAACTGTGTACCAATATCCATCTTAGATATAACGTGAAACGCACTCTTAAGTAGGTCAGGATATATCTAGAAATCCAATTTGCCCTAAAACTTAACAGAACAGATGAACAGTTTTATAAAAGTCACAAAAAGCCTTCGCTCAATTACTGGTCAAAACATATGTATGTTAATGAGAAAAGACCTCAGATAAACACTTCTAAGACTATTCTTAAATATTCTCAGCAAGATATTTTCGTTGTCTAATTACTGTTAGTGACACGTTCCAAACCCACCACGATCCTGCGACTGACTAGAAGCAGTGACGTCATTCATATTTTCCACAGCAAAAAAATTGAAGACCCAAGATGTCCCTTCCGGAGTGTGAAGGTGTTGTAATAAGTAAATGTGTTCGAGACTGATAATGTAGAATACTATTTAGACTTGTGGTGATTTGAAACTCTACTGATAGGAAAATGGAGTAACGTTTGATCCACAAAGTCGCCTCTCTTCAAGGCAACGCAGCTGATCGCACAAAGGGTATTTGAGATATAATCTCGTCAATCATTCACTGAACCTACATAATCTTGTCCTGTGTGACCATATCCTGTTGTTGATCCGAAAAAGGGTTTGGAACGGTGCAGGTTCTTGACTGACGTAGATCTAGTTGCACCATCACAAAAGCGTTACGTCAACCACATTTCAGGTAACCTTCCAAGAAGTACACATACTACAAGTAAGACTCGCTAAATGCTCTGCTTTTGAATATTCAAAATAACCTGTAAGCTTCAATGTTTCATATAATCCACTTAAGAAGTAGATCAAAAGCTCTTAAGCAAATCAGCAGATTGAGAGCATTATTTCGACTGTTACTCTTGCTAGGCAAGTTTCACCCAGACTAGTTTGTGGTCACAGTTACTCATCATCACGTTAGAATAAGCCATCCAAAGAAGACTTTATCTTTATTTCATCAATCAAACAACACTGCCTACCTTCCTTCAACCAACGAAAGTTTGGCTCACCAAATAAAACTGGACATTTATTCTAGTTGATCTCTCCAAGACGTACTGTTGTGTACTACTATACTACGCCACTTTTTGTTTACTATGCAACCGTAAGAGGGGCAAGAGACCAGGGAGGTATGCAACAGAATATGGAAGTCTAAACAGTCGAGTCTACAGGTTCTAATTCTTGGCCGTTGCTGCGCATTCGTCGCCTGATATTCTACGCACTATACATTTCGCTGCAGATTCCCTATATTGTTATCACCGTTGGTGGTCATGGCACCATTCGTACACTTGCATACACTATGATTTCAGGCAGCCCAACAGAGGATGTAAGCAATACAAACAGAGAAAAACAGGCCGAAATCGGATGAGCGGACATTCGTTAAATATTCTTTTTCAACCGACCTCAGAATAAAATAACTGAAGATCACGAAGTCGTCGTAGCTCTGCACCTAACATCCCATTCAGTGTTGCCGGGATCTAACTGAGTCTCTCTTTACCACCTACTTAATTTTTGCAAATGAGCTTAATTTCTGCAAATGAGTGCAACCCACCAATCGTACTTTTTTGGACAAACCTTGGTATGGAAAGGTCTACTGTCATACAAATAGTTATTTCTTTCGCCGAAGTGCAGTGGCCCAGACCTTCCAGTAGTTATTACGGTTTTCAAATATCAGTCTATTTTGCAAATGGTGTGATTCAAAGGTAACAAGCTTACATAGACAACAAACACCTCAGTTAGTTTGCTCCCCTTTATGAAGAATTCGTCACCTCAGTTCCCCCTTGTTATCATGCAGCGCTAGCTCCCATTACAGTCAAGCCGCACTTATGCCAAGAAAATATACTTGATAGCATTGAAGTGTTTATTGTGGGTGAGCACGGCGACAGAATGTGCGGTAATCTTGCTGCTAAGCCACAGGTTCTTTTGATGGGAAAAAGCGCTTTGTAAACGTCCATCTGTACATCAACCGACTGGCTCCTCATGTAAAACACATCAGCGAGAGTGCGTGTAATTGTGACTAATAGTATGTGCCGTCAGTACAGTTAGTTTGCTTACTCCCTATCGTCAAACAAATGCCCTGGCTACATGTTTAAACCATCCGTTAACTTCCACGATTGACTGTACCACTGTGTGCATCTTTGAAATCCCCGATGTCGTTTTAGCTCATGTCCATCAAATAAAATCCAACCTGTCCAACTTACATGACCTTTTCATAGTTGAAATGAACCCAGTCAGTTGAAAAATGCTTGGAGACGTTTCATAGTTGAAATGAACCCAGTCAGTTGGAGACAATTTTGAACTTATCCTTTTGGAACTATTTGGATCTAAACCGATTGTTTTCAAAACTCTTCAGAAAACGGTAAAGTGCAACCTTTTTTAAACGAAACCAAATTATTCCGTGTACTTGCGTTTCCATGCACTTGCGTGGTTGCTCACAAGGTAAATAATGAAACAACAACGCTGTTCCAGTTGGAGGAGTACTGATTTTTCGAAACTTATTAAGGTGACAACCTTGTCCACTTTGCAACTGTATCCCGCAAACCTAGATTAATACTCTCCAAAGATAATGGCACCCTGATAGTTTTCTAGGACAGACGTCCGCCATGTGCATGTCTTTTGGTCGCGTTTTAGGCAAAGATTGAATGCTATCGAGCTGCTGCTTCATAAAATGATGATAACTGCCTATTGTGAATCCCCTAATCAAAAACAAAATCACGGCGAAATTCTCTGGTTTATCCAGCTTAAGTGAACAGCATACACCTAACTTTGTTTACTTTACGCTGAATGCCTCAAAAACCCTTCAGTTAACCTCAGTTATTGCCCAAATTCCACAGAAAAAGCTGCATGAGTTGTATGCTATCCACCTAAGTCTAGTTGATCGCATTTGTCGAGTTCCTTCCCAACCGCCTTTTTGCTCAAATGCGATCGCTTTGCATACCACTGAGTGCTCCTTCAAACAGAACCTTGGACATTTTTCCTAAGGGCTGGTCAACCAGAAATGTTTCCTGTACCATGAGAATACAATGTTGCCGTGATTCAACCTGTTCCTCCTGCTTCGTCTGTGCCTTTAACCACTGTGCCCAGTGACCACCATTTACTTGGGTACTGATAATTGCTTCTCAAATAAATCTTTACAAACATACCCTGAACCCACATGAAGATCACCATCTGTGACCTTTAGTCGAAGATCAACATATGTTCAGCCATTGCCACCTTGACACTCTTACTTCCAAGCAATGGACTACCACGTCCCGAAATCTTAGACATCATGAAGCGAAAACTTACCCAGAAATTAAGAATGTGCACGCCGATCAAGAGCGCGTGTGTGCACACCCGACGAGAGATAGCCAGCGCAAAATTGTTACTTGTGATGGACGTAACATGTAAACGTTTTGAACTAATGTTTTGAATCGAGTTAGATTGTGGGAGGGCGTTCCGATGATTTCAGCATGTGTTTTGACTTGCGTGCATTAGATGTTAAAGTTACTCCTATTTTCCTGTAAGTTCATCCGTTTGCATTCAGAACTTCCAAATCGCGTTACAGTAATCAAATATCCGAAGAACCTGACATGTCTGCTTGAAACTTGTCCAGTAATTCCCGCTTTTGAACCCCGTTGGATATGGTTTGAACTATCCAAGCACCCCTCGGATGAACGTCTCGTGCCTTCTTCACCTATCCTCAATAATCCTGGCAATCATCATTTGATAATTTGGGCCGCCCATTCTTAAGTTCAAAGCCATGAATATGACGCGTGATATTTCCGAAAAAGTTCTTCTGTGTGTTTGTATTTTGCCCTAAATACAGTTGCACCAAACAAGCCTCTAATTAGTCTGATTGCTTCATCTGCGAATGAGGATAACTCTATTGTCTGATGAATTTTTCTGATTAGCATGTCCATTTGGTTTACGCTAGAGAAACAACTCTTCAGAGGTTGGACTCAATCTTTCGGCGTTAGTTTAATCAGAGAACATAACGCTCCCATCTCGTATACTGTGGCTTCGTTCTCAAGTGCCCATCTGTCTTCTTTTCTCTTCATGGACTCTAGTAATCACCTTCTGGTTGCTAAATGGAATAATTTTCGCCGTTGGTACTTTGGCATCGTCGAATTCCGATCTTTTACATTTGATGAAAATTTGGCATTACATTCACTGGAGCCCCGCCTGAGCTTCTCGATATCAACAAACACCTCTTCTCTCACATGGCATCGAATTGAGCATAATGGGTCATTTATATCAAGACTCGGAGCGAGAAGGCTCAGTGGATAGAGGGCAAATTTACTGACCGGAATGTCCGTGGTTCTAATCCGACCTCTGCCTCTAGACTTCCCTTGTCTAGGCTTGGGCATCCTGGCAGCATCCCAGCCCTCTTGCTTCCTCCGGATGGCAGGGCAGCTAGGCACTAAAAGGGTGTTACATCTGAACGGTTATCTTTCTGTTTTATATCAAGACTCAGACTACTGTTTCAGGTAGAAATCCCGTGTCATATTGTGTTACACGTTTATTTATTTTAAATCTGTCTATTTCCTACTTATTGGTACCGTTGCCCATATGTTCAATGTAAACATCCTCGCCATTTGGCAAGAGCTGATTTCAGATTCATGTCATTCACCATGTTTTCATACTTCTGAAATAGTTCTCGTTGAGTTCCGGAATTCTGTTAACTCTAACAGCCCGAAGAAGACAATTTTGGAAGTTGGATTGGCTCCGCTAACTACTGAAAGTTTGCTTATTTGCCGCCAGAGAGTAGAAAGTTAGAATATATCCAAAGATGTTAACCAACCTCTTTGTTTCCAAATGAGTTGAGTAGAACTCTACACTACGAAAAGCACCATCAGTCAGCTTATCTTGCGTGTAGACGTGAAAGGCGGCATACGCAAGCAACAGTCATTTGCTTTGAAAGAAAATCAATAGTCACAGCTAAACTGGGTGGTGAGAACACAATGACCACAGCTGATTAAACATATGTTGTGAATAAGTTGCCTAGGTAAATGTCATAAAGAACTTTAGACCAAAAGATAAAACATTCAGTCATGGGACCATCCAATAGTGATTTCGTTGAAACAGACGGAGAAAATGAAACAGTATCAACCACGGAAGTCCGTGATGGTGATGTGGGAAGAGTTCATCACTCCAATAAGGATCTTATCCTTCCTTCCGGGGAGCACCATACAGCTGTTTGATCCTTCTTTTGACTCATCACTCCAATAAGGATCTTATCCTTCCAGTGGGGCCAATTTAAACTAGAAAACCTGGGAGCACCATACAGCTGTTTAATCCCTCTTTTGAATCACCATCTGTGCGCGTCTCAGAGAGCTGAATCCGAAAACTAGTTTCCTGTCATTTAACCGTCTGGCCACCACCGGCTGATCAGCAATATAATTAGCGCAATGCAGATGATTCCGGATAAGGATTAAACAGCTACATGGTGTTCTCAGCATTCGCTGACAGGACGAAATCTATATTAAAAATCCCCTCTGTATGACTGTTCATCGACGAGGCTGGACTTCCCAATTTGTCAAGGAGATAATTCTCAAAAGCACCAATTTCCCAAAACAGTAAAAATCACTGGGAACGGTTTAGCCAGTTAACCGGCATTTAGTAGTATGCCCCCAGTAGTGAATATTTCAAAACAATGTGGAAAATCTCGTAATACTAATCCACAGTCGGGAGCTTTTCGACAGTGTTAATTATAACGCAACAGTGATGAAGAAGCAACAAAACAATGACCCACTCAAACTCACATTGGTGTTGGCATCTCTCTTGGTAACGAAGCGTTTGCAAGCAAACTGATAAGCTACTCAAACAGGTCAGCGGCCACCTAATTAACCACCAATGGGGGCACCCGACCCACCATATATTCAGCTTGAAAATCCTAATAAACCCCGTGTAGATTAAAGAGGGATGAAAAGCACTGATCCGAATAATAAGGACGGTTTTTCAGAGTTTTGGTGTGCCACAAATGCGTTTCCAGTATAGCAGTAGAAACGCACACCGAATTTGAGTGTTAGGACAACTTCAAGATATGTGCTCATACACTAATAAAGGGTAAATGAAATCGGGCTGTTTCAGAAAACGTTTATGACGTTCACTGATGTCACAAGCAGAACAGTAAGAAAAAGACCACAGTGGAATTTATAACAAGTAAATTTCACTAAACTTACTCTGCTGCAGGCGTATCAGTGAGGCCGAGAGCAAAGCGATATTCCTCCAACTTTATTATCCCGTCTCCATTTACGTCCAGCTCCTTCATCAAACGCTGCAGAGAGCAGAGACAGAATAACCAAATAAATAATGAATAAAAAAGAATCATTTTACAAATCAAACTTTTGGTTTCCTTTCTCCTCAGAAATCGTTGCACGTTAATTACCTAGTTTGAAGCATAATTTCAGCCCCAAAATTTCATTGCGCGGAAACTGTCTTAGTTTTTATCGAAATAGGTTTACTTCTACGTGGTCTGCGTTTATACAGGATTTGAAGACCATCTGTTTTCTCCTATCGTGATTGGCTGGTTGGGTGACGGCGTTTTTCGTGAACGTATTGGTCCGTTCTTGTCTACGTTGCGTTGTGGCCTGTTTTTCCCTGAGTCGGCTGGTTACCACAACGCCTTTTACTTTTAGTACTTTCTTTCCTCGCTTTGGTTGGCCCTCTTATCGACTTGCATAGTGCTGTGGTATAAAACCTACTTGGAGTTTACTGTCTGGTTGCGTCGCTTTTTCTTAGTTATTACGATTGGCGTCCCTGCCCCCACCGGTCAGTTTTGTACCTTGGGTTACTGAATGGACACCTCTTCCAATCAAATCGATGTGTCCGTTTGAATCGAGCTTCCCTGTTTCTTCTATGAATTCCTAGCCTGGTTGCTTGTGTATCCCAGAGCTCTGTGGTTCTGGTGTACTCCCGCTCATAGGGGCTGATAAATAGGGTCAATGTTGATATGTATGTTGGCAGCTTATTAGATGGAGAGCAACGACTTCATAAATTCACGTTTTTCTTTATTCCTGCTTGGTCCAGTATACGAACGCCCCCCAGTCCTTCCTGATTTCGACAGAGTATCAATATCCTGAGGCCTTCGGCGTCCAAAACAACTGGTCGGAGGCCGTTTTTCGCCTTCGGACAAGTATCTACAAAACAGCAACCCTATTTTTCCCATGTGTGGCTGCGCAAAGGAGTCCTTCAACGTAGTCTAACCTATTGGCCGTCTATAAAACAGCAAAAGCTGGCACAGTTTCTAGGTGGAATGGCTGACCAACAGCCAGGATCGTAACTATGGATGCTCACAACCGCACTGAAGAACACGAGAGAATAGCGAATGAGTATAAAGAGGCTGGATTGAGGACAATAGTATTAGACCGCATGAGGCAACTCAGTGTGATAGTAAAATGAACGGTTACCAACATTGCCAGAAGCAAGAAGGCTCATCTGGAATGCGAATTCTCTAGGCAAGAAGGCTCATCTGGAATGCGAATTCTCCAGGCCGATTGGAAACCAGTAGTACAAAAGTAATCATGACGAAACCAAGATAAAGTATCTGCCCAAAAGTCAAGTCACAGAAGCTGAAGAAAATGTTCTCATCAAAGAGCTTCAGGGATGCGACAAACCTGGAGTAGTTAGCCAGTCCAGAAACGGAGATGAAGCCTATCGGACTCCAGAGAAACGCTCAAAAACAACTTCGGCAAACGAATGTTTTTTTGGCCCTCACACTCAACAAGCCGCTCTCAAAAACAACTTCGGCAAACGAATGTTTTGGCCCTCACACTCAATAAGCCGCTCAACTTGTCATCCAGCAAGCAATGGAAAAAGGCAACGAATATACTGAGGAAGGATGAAAACCCTGATTTTACAAACAGACAAGCGGCTCCTACTAGTCAGTGATCATGGAAAAACCAGACTACATCAATAAAGGGAAAGCTCTACTTAATGTCACAACTGAGTATCATCGCTTAGAACGTGACCAAAGCGAGCAAATATCAAACAAAGAAGCTTCAAGGTCTGCACAAGTTTAAAAAAGAGGAATATCGGTTTTACAACTTCCGCTTCTAAGGACTCCCAAAATGTGTACAAAGGGACAATGGCCCTCCGACCACCCCCAGGAAAAGCGACCTGGAATCTTGGAAAGAAATATGGAAGAAGTTGAAACACCCCATCGATGGGTCCCAACACTCAATCAGCCACGCGGGGCAATTTTTACGGAGATAGGTATGCGTCAGTATCAATCATCGCGGAGTAATGTCCTTATTTAATGGGAGCTCATTATAAATGTTGGTAGATCTCTATTCTGTCAAGTTAACTCTAGCCGAAAGGGCAACATGCCAACTAGGTCGCTGGAAAAGATTTCTGCCAATTACATGACTTTTGCTTCGTCACATATTTTGAGTTCAGCGAAGAGTATGACCAACCACTATGAGGGACACAAATGGGGTTGGTTATATTGGCGACGCTTGTGATCATCAAAAGAAGCCAGTAGCACAACTACTAAACAATGTTTTTGATGACATCGAATTTGTTCGAAGAAAAGATTAACGGAGAACTGGCATTGGTGACGTTCTTCAATGCTATACTGACAAACGGACAGCTATAGGCTCAAGTCTACAGAAAGGCGACGCATACGGGAGAAACTCTGGACTATCACATCCACCAACGTTTGCAAGTCAATTGACAAGCTAGGTGAACATTACAACTACCACCTGATCTATTGCCAGGTATCACTCTGTTACTCCTTCATGTTGAAATGACAAACATTTGTACAAAACCATAAATGGCAACTAGTGAAATAAGTTACTTTTGGTAAAGTTTATGTACAGTTTGAAATATTTAGTCTAATTTGAAAAACATCAAGGGGGCATATCACACATACTAAGGCGTTTAAGGTGAAGGAGGGGCCATGACTAACAACAACACAAATGAGAAAACAGAAGCGCCCATCTGGTTTACTCCACAGGACAGTTCTATGCTTTCCCACGCATAGCCATTACTGTAAACCTATTCCCTATTGTCTTCGTCTTGGGTAACGTGAGAATTAATGAACTGGACCGTTCTGACTCAAAAGTAATCAGTGTGCATCTTGTTACCCGTGTAAAACTTCCTGCTTCATTTTTCTCTTGAATTTTACCATCAGGCTTTGTTACTAAACCGTTGCGTTTCTCAAGCTCAAGGTTGAAATTGTCCACTTTCATGCAAGTAGCGCAGGGAATAAGATTGTTTAAAATTGATCGCCTGAGCTAGTCACCGTGAGCTTAGGGCCTTTCGCGTTAATACTCTAAATATGATATTCGGACTGTCTGCTTAGGAAAACTTAGCTGCTTCTACTCTCCTATTTACATGAGACAAGAGTTCAAAAGTCAAGACTACGTCACAATACGAGCAAAAGGGCTGATTATTTATCGGTGTTTTCCATGGAATTAGAAAGAAATGAACGGTGGGTTCAAGCGTGTGTCACGCTACCTGAATGGGAATTGCTGACTGGCGGGTCAGTTGATCGTCACAACCAAGACAGTTCCTGGGTCGTCGTTCGATGGGTTGGGCACACCAGTCATATCGCTCAAGTGTGAACACGTTCGCCTGTTCAGACGTGATAATTCAGATGCGTCCAACGTGCGTTGGTGGAGTAGTGGTTACACGCTCGTCTCGCATGTTGGATGTCCGGGGTTCAAATCCCGGCAAAACCATTGAATATGCACTGCTGATGAGCTTTAATAAGAGCGAACCTCGAGTCCTTCCCTTCCCTTTGGTGTGGACTCACCGGAATAAGTACGCCAGAAAAGGAGAACGACCGTTTAAGCGAGAGTGGTGTGACTTTGAACAAATGAACATTAGTCTACCTCTAATGTACCGTTAGCTCAGTCAGTCGGTTGACCGCCCTGATTGTTCACCCATTTTCATGTTCATCGCAAGCGACTCAACTCATAAGCTTTAGTTCACTTCCATTCACTTTTTACATTTTAAACAAACTCCAGTATGTACTCGAAATCAAGTCACTTAGTGGCGTGAAAATGTTAGTCCCGTTCGCCCTTGGAATCCTACTCAAAGTGTTTGCTTGAGTGTGGAGGTGAGAAGTTGGCGTCGAGTAAAATGAGTGATCCACATGAATTAACAATCATACCTGCTATCTGGAGGCGTGTTGGCGGCTTGGGAGGTGTATATGGCTGTCATCCAGTTCTCTGAGTCGGATACTTTGGTTGAAAACATTTCACAGTCAACCGAAGTGATAGCAGAATTGCATAGTAAGTTAGCAGCGCTTTGTAATGCCTCAAGGTGTAGGAGTTGAGCTATGCTGTGTTCTTGATCATATATGCATTGCCAACATTGGGGGAGATTAACCTTTGATGAGTCTTTTGGATGCTGAGTCCCGATTGTTAGGTGGTTGGCTAACTCCTTGATTGGTCACCATCTGAAAGGCCCCTAGGTCTACATACCGACGCAATACAGCCCACCGCTAACTTACTATGCACTGTCGATATCGCCTCAGTTTACTACCAAACTGCCCGGCTCGATATTTAAATCACTTAACAGTCATGCCGTTCAATTCATTCACTAAATCCAGTGAAGATTCTGAATGTCCCATCACGATACCCGAAATAATTAGCCCGGAATATGAATGTGCCTCAAACAGAAATCATTGTATTCAGAAATGTGCACCGTCCACTTTCTCCGCATACCAGAAATACTGTAGGCTATCTGTACTTCTAACGCTAGGTAGGTGTCGGAGAAACTCAAGTGGATGCTAACGGTATCAGCTTAAATACATGACACATGGCTTATTTCATTCCGGGTGAGCTGTGACAATAATAAAATAGCGTGAATATAACGTGGAACGGTCGGACCAACACAAACAATAATATGTCCGCTTGATTAATTCTACCATAAAATTTGACCGCCAATACTTTTTACACTAGAATAAATAATGCAAAACTACCAGTAAACTCACATCCGCGTTTTTCGGGGGCAAACCAGATCTTAAGAGAGCTTGTTCAAGTTCCTTTCGGTGGACGGTATTTGAACCATCTCGATCAATACTTGTGAATACAGCTTCCAATTCTTGGGGCGAAGGGCGACGTGCCATAACCTTGAGCCTAAAGAAACGTACAAGTAAAGTAGTATTAAAGGTATAATTTTGGTTATATCGAACTGGAAACGACATATGATCATTTCACGACAGCATTTTCGAAAAGCATTTATTTGTTAAACTTACCGTCAAAATATTCCCATGTCCCATTTCAAGGAAAAACATCGGCTTTGTGCACTATGATTTTGCCATTTTGAGACTTCTATTTTTCTTACTCACTTCAACTATCGCTCACACATAAATCACATGGTTTGGAAAATGTATCGATGAATATAGCATGTTCATTGTGAAGAGTCTCATTAATTGCCAGACTAAGTAAATCCCGATATCACAACTTGATTAAACAATCAGATGTGATGTGATAACCAGCTTATAAACCAGGAAAACAAAGAAAAACAGTTGGATGGCGGGATTGTGTGCCGCTATTTTATTTTGTCACATATTATTCCAATGCCTATCGTTCTCAAATCGCTTCGTTGCTAAGCAATCCGCCTAGGAACTTAAACCTGGAGGTATGAAGAATGCATACAGTTGGCAGCAACAGTGACAACTTACATGTTGAGTTTTTCCAGTTCGAGAGCCTAAACATTTGGGCTTTCATGAAACTGATATTCCATTCCCATATCAGAGCCGCCTGAGTTCAGACTCAACAAGCCAGCTCCACAATGTTGCGTTTTTTCTTCGGATTTACGCACTCATACCTGATTCTCAGTGGGCGAGCATGATTTTGCGTTGTTTTTGGTCGGTCAGATACACTTTTGATTTATTCTTGACAGGAGTAACATTGAGTTCAGCAGTCCTAATTTGGGATGGGCCAATAAGAATGTTCAAACCAGCACAGAATTACAACCGTTTAGACCAGAATTTTGGCATACATCATTTTTCGCTTGCACATGCCATCCTATAAGTACTGTCCCATCAAAATCATGCTTTAGGAAATTTGAAGAGTGGATATACGGTCACTAGACCTCAGGATTAAAAATATTTTATAGTAAGCAGTTGGGTGAGTTCACTCACTGAGTCCAACAGCCGTAGCGAGGCTTCGAGTCACCCTCAGCCAACGTATAGAAAACCTAGTCACCTTCCAGGAATGTCCGACGAATTGCCACGTTTTGACAATATATGCTGACCCGTCAACTAAATGAAACCATTCAGACTAGGCAAGAAACAGTTGCCTGAGTTTCGGCGTACATAGATTTTGAACCCCAATCAGCTCAGCCCACATGTCAGTTGCCACAAAACAATCGTTTGACGGAGTCTTAAAGAATTCATACTGATAAAACACGCGGTAGTAAGTTCCCATTCCCAATTCTTCAAACCGCCTAGCCAACATTCACTATAAATAAATAAATAAATAAATAAATAAATAAATAAATAAATAAATAAATAGATAAATAAATAAATAATATGAAATTTCTCATTTTGGTAAGCAAATATGATGCACCAGGCCACATGTCAGTAAGCCACTCTCTACAGCACGGCATACAGCGTGGTTAGTTGGTTGGTAAATAAACACGGAATAGGATGATTAATGAATATGTATGATATGAAATACAAAAAAACTAAAGAGAATAGATTCTGGGGTTATTCATCCCGAGTACATCCAATTAGCAAGCTCACTGTCACGCCACCGATCGACTTCCAAAATCACCACGGCTTAAAGGAGAACTGCGTTTTCAACGTGTGCGTGTATGTTGGTGGCCTCCTTGAGACCATAGCTTACATTCAATTGGCCTAACATTTATATCGATGTGTGCGCAATGCGTTTTGCGCAGTCACTTGATCGCGTCAGTGAATGCGTGGGCGACTAGTGTGAAATCCATCTCAATGTGTCTGATGTACTTCAATCAACGAAATTTTTTGCATGAGTAAACGTCCACGTCGGAGATCAAGTTGATTACCCGAAATGGAAATTCCACGTGAATACTTCAATCAACGAAATTTTTTGCATGAGTAAACGTCCACGTCGGAGATCAAGTTGATTACCCGAAATAGAAATTCCACGTGAATATTATTATGTCATCGTTTCAAACACGCCCAAGCTGGCTTAAATCGGTAGCTTTCACTCAGTCGGTACTAAATGTATGGGGTAACTTACAAACACACTGCTGTCTGAAAATTAAAACTCCGCAAACAAGTGCGAATTCAGTCATTGCATAGAGTTTTCAAGTTCCAAAAAACTTGGTTTCTCGCATAGTTTAGACTAATCTACGGACCAACACGCAAATTAACGAAGATGATGCTTACTATGTAAAACTATATCCAGTGAGCTGTCACAAACCTGTCTAATTTGCCCACAAACCTACAATTTTGTTGCAGAAATTTTAAAGTCAAAACAAAGCGTTATGGGACAAGGCGTTGCAAGATGTTGAATACAGAGACCTACGAGTTATTTATTCTATTTGTTAGAGTTTTTCCTGCGAAAATTACGAGATTGCACATTCTAAAAATTAACCTTTTTATGGTAAAAACTGTTTCACCATCTTGTAGCTTGCTTTGGAATAGGAGTACACAATGAAATGAGAGGTCCTGACCTCTTGCACCTGTGTCCATGTTTTCTACAAGCCAAAGAAAAAGCTCGTCATTTAATGCTGAATCTCTCGTAACTACAATATTTCCGGCACACAGTGATTTGTCTGTGCATCTACCGTACGCAAATCGATATTTTATTCTCCAACCGTTTGTTTTATCAAGCGCAAATCCCTCAGTTTCGATCCTAAGGATTGGCAGCCTTTGGCACAGTACTTTCTCATCGAATTCGTAAGCCGCCACTAATCGAATTTCATTCCACCTATGTTTTAATAATCAAAAGTTAATCTTGGAACCTGTAGATGATTGATAGGTTTAACCGCAAATTCATTTGTTGTCATATAATCAGGAACGAGACCGAAAACTATTGAAGAACCAGAGAAATTATCTTGCCAGAACAACGAAATGCCCATTTTGTTGTTGTGTCTATATATTTAATCAATCATGCACGCTACGCACCTGTGAAAACACTGGTAACGATCAGTATACTAATGTCAGAAATAAGTACTAGGAAATTTTTACTAAAGTTGTTACAAATACGACAGTGCGATTCGGGCACTTACAAGTTGTAGAGGTTTTTCCATATTTAACCTCCAAACATTGTGAGATATTCAGACCTTTACTATGTAGATTGGTTTATAAGACAACGCAGTATTTTCTCAGTGTTTTCGCAAAACTATTTTCATTCTATAACGAAGCACTGGCAAGAGCTGCAATAACCAAGGAGACAAGGTTCCACGAATGAGAGCATGGATATAACCAAGTCTCACTTCTTTCCTCCAAATCTTGTTGGACTCGGTTTCAGCTGGTTCTGTGCGGCTCTGTGATTATCAGACAATTATATTTACTTGCTGCAATATATAGGATCCACTAGCAGCTACAATTCAAGACCTCTAAGTAACTACCGAACTGCACGCTATCTTTCAATATAGGATCCACTAGCAGCTACAATTCAAAACCTCTAAGTAACTACCGAACTGCACACTGATCATAGCCTATCTTTCGTTACAAAGAGCTTGAACGGTATCACTTTGTGCGTGTTTGTGCACCTCCATAACCCATTAAGCTATACTGTGGAATGTATTACGACACCCACAGAGGCTCTCATGCCAGGTGGGTCGGCGCACAAAGTATGACTAACCTACACGGTTCTCTGCCATGTAAATTAGGTCATGGCAGTGTGTTTATGTCGATTATTTGATTTCCGGGTTTGCGATTGAAACGTACTTGATCCAAAACCCACAACTATGACAGTCAGCAACTCAGAAGAGCCACAGGAAGTCCTTTTTAAGAAGAACCTTGATCATTTCTATCTTATCGTGAAGGATCAAATCCTCAAATTTCAGTACCCAATCAGCGGTCTCTTCCCATTAAACCCGAAAGACCCTCAGTGCAAATTCAGTCATGTTCGGGATTCGGTCTACTGTGCCACTGTCTTGTGGGCTCTTCATCGAGCTTTCGTGCGTGTGGATGATGATGCCGGTAGACATTACGAACTTGGTCAGTGCGCTGTAAAATGTATGCGAGGTATCCTGATTGGATGGATGCAACAGTCTTCCCGACCACAGCAGTTCAAGAAAACGCAGAGTTCGGAAACTTGTCTTAGTTCCCGATTGAACTATGAAACAGGGGAGCCAATCGTTGATCCGGAATATAAAAACCTGCAAATGGATTGCGGGAGTTTGTATTTCATTCAACTGGCACAAATGACTGCCTCTGGTTTGCAAGTTGTATACACCAGAGATGAAGTTGCTTTCATGCAAAATCTCGTCTTCTATCTGGAGCGTGCCCATCGGATCCCAGACTACGATATGTGGGAACGCGGAACCAAACAGAACCGAAACATGGTAGAGTTAAATGTCAGTTCAATCGGGATGGCCAAGGCTGCGTTGGAGTCCGTTTCCGGTCTCAATGTCTACGGCGCCGAAGGTAGTCATTCATCCACACTTTTGATGGACATTGATGCAGCAGACAGAAACCGGATAATCATGACAAACCTGCTACCTAGAGAACCAGCATCAAAAGGTAGTGATGTATCTCTGCTGCCAGCGCTCTGCTGGCCTGCCTACGGGGCCTCAAAAACCGAGCCTTCTGGGCCTGCACTAGAGCGTTGCCTTCTCCGTCTGAAAGATCAGTACGGCTTTCGTCGATTCAACAGAGATGGATATGTAACGGTGCTTGACCAGAACACTCACTATCAACCCGGAGAACTAATGAAGTTCACCGGAATCGAGAGTGAATGGCCAATGTTCTTCGCGTACATGCCGATTGAACACTGCATGAACGGTGAATTGGAAAAGGCAATGGAATACGATCGTGTGATCCAGCCACTTTTGGTTCATCCAGTGCCTGAAAGATTTCCATGGCTTCCGAAATTTTTGTACGTACCTTTGGATGACCTGGAGAGGGAGCGGAAATCCCGAGGCTCGGTCGTACGCAAAAGCAGTTTCCACGTTCCCGGAGAGTCTTTTTTCTTGTGGAGTCAGTCGGTCTACATCATATCCCAGCTCCTAATTCACGGCTGTTTAACTCCAAGCGACTTGGATCCACTAGGACGGTGCCCAGCCTGGAGCAGTAAGCTTGGTGCTCTACCTCATTCGTCTCCTATCTTCGTGGACAAACTTTTGAACCTGACGATTCCCCAGAGTAGTGGACACGTGTCGACTTGCTTTTTAAAAGTACAGGCTGCTCTGGAGGCTTTACTTTAATTACCACTGCCTTCCGGTTGGGCCTTTAGACCGAAAGTCGTGGCTGATGACCCCAATAGTCCCTGACAGTTCGCCAGCCCATGTACAGTAAGTAGATGCATACCTAGAGATGGTTTCATGCCATATTGGCCGTCGCATGGTACCAGCAGTCGGGTTAACTTACTTGCTGCGTACAGCTAGGTGGTTAATGAGAATCAGGCCACCGCTTAAAACTTTTTTCATCACATATCTGTTCCTCCTCCCTATTTGCCTCTTGACTAAGAGCCCTGTAGGTCGCATATATTCACTCTGAGGGACCGACAGGTCGATCTGTCACCAACTGTAAACGGCCATAATATCTAGCCCTCATTCACACATTACGGTGGTTGGTATTACAAAAAAAACTTCAAAATCCTACGCTCAGTTAACATAGCAGCCTATAAGGTCTGCAATCGGAAACAAGCAACACGACCCGTCTAATTATGCTTGTGTGGTGGACACGGATTCTACTGACGTATTCTATTGGTCCGAGACGATGATTCAGGACACTAATGTAGCTGCTGAACTGACTCCAATGACGAGTTCCTTTCGATTCCACTTTCGTGACTTTGGTGTCGCAAAAACCGCTGTGGCTGTTTCTTTTGGGAATAGTGTTATTTTGAGCCATCGGGATTTCTGTCTCTGAGTTGATGGTCGTCTGTTCATAGTTGCTCGGGTATGGTTTTCTTGCCTTTTCATTCTGTCTGCTTACATCTCAAAGGTTTGTAGCTCGAATGTTCTCAAAAACAGCTTTCGAGACGCCATATTCACTTTGTTTTAGTGAGTTAAGAGCTCAGTTATAGTTGTGGTTTCGGAGTAACTGAATGTGAATGTAGTTCAGCCGAGTAGTGCTGAGACTCAGTTGGATGATCGTCTTGGACTAGAATCCGGATGCACGGAAAAAAAGGAAAGCCTACTAAAATTGTCCCAAACGGAGATTTTCTCAGCGTAGTACTAACTTCTGAAGTAATCAGAACCATTTGTTCGCATGGTGTATTCCGCATACCAGCCAACCCCTAAAGTAAATAGGCCACATCGTCATTACATATAGGTGGTGTGCTCTTTCTAAAAAACGTACATGGTCTCTAAATACGCTAGTGTTCGTTTCCGCTTCCCTCTATTGTTTTTGGGATCGTGCGCAAGGGCTGAACATTGGCATGAGAAGATCTCGGACCCTCATGCAAACCAAAATTATTAAAGACATTTGTTTAATTCCCTCTTGGACAATGCGTCTTCTGATGTCAACTCTTACTAGAAGATACTGTCCGCCATCCCACAGGACCCGGGACGCTCCGCTTGTGGAACCGCTCAGCCAGTTAGATCCTGGCACTTGGTTCTTTGAAGAACTCAAGGTCGTATAATGCAACGAACTGTCGGGTTTTAGATAAAAAATTGCATCTGCGAATATTGATGAGCCTGACGGGTCATGAAAGTTGAAGACATCTAGGAGGTGAGAAATTCTGTAGGCTTATTTTGCAGGTGGGTCATGGTGCCTGATTTCGAAAAATCTCCCTGCATTGACAGTGGCGCTTACAATGTAATTACCTTAACCTTCATCATAACCAAACTCTTCACGTCGCTTGTTTTACGTCGTCTCACCAGGACCTATGTCAATGGGACCGCGTAACAGAATGCAGAATTCCGGCCAGGAAATAGTTGTGCTCGTCACACTTTTTAATTCGCCAGTTATCAAGGCTATGGAATATGTGCGTATGTTCTACATCCTTACCGTTACTTGAAGTCAAGTTCGCCTTGGATTTATCAACCTGGTTCGTTTCATTGAAGACGACTGTGTTACAGGGTGTGCAACAGAAGCTTGTGAATGTCATGCGCTGTTTGTATTGGCAAACTTTGGGTGCACCAGTGTAAGTGAACACTCCAAAAGCCTTCCTTCAATCACTGATATCCACAAGGGTGTTCATCTTTTCCACTTCTATTTAATTTTGTGAATTACGAGGTAATGAACAGAACACTAAAGAATTTCCAAAGCCTGTACGAGCCGGAATATTGTTCACCTGGTTTACGCTGGCTTATTTGTTTTTTTTTAATAATCACGAAGTGCAGACGTAGCCGAGGGTGCTGACCATTTACAACCGGTGCTTCTTCATGTGATTCGAAATCACAAATCGCGACATAATCTTTGAACACGTCCTCAAGAATCCGGAGAAGGGCACTAAAAATTATGAAACTGTTGTATTGTGTGCGGTGACCGAGCCATGGGGTTACGCCTGCACTGGGCCTGCCAGACTACGCGATAGGGAGAAGACAGAGAACTGGGGACACGGCTGTATTGCCAGGACAAAACGTACAGAGCGTCTGCATAAATATATAGGATGACTACTTGGCCAAAATGGTCGTTCACTTGTTCGCTCCGTACAGCCAATGGTGGTGTTCCGGTCGTGAACATTCTCAGGCCCACTACGCTGGTCGTGTGTTGCTAGGCCGTTTGGTGAGAATTGTGTTTCGTGGGAACCGCCAACTCACCTACTTTCCGGAAGTGTCAAAACGATGGTGACCTTGGGGATGCGTCACTCTCTGCACATGTACTTCTTCTTCTGTCTGGGCGCGCCCTGGCATTTCCCCCTTTTGGAAATAGATCGTACGTTGGTCCCTCCCTGCGAGATTTCAACAGTGCTCGTTTAGAAGTATCCACAACTCTCTCGGCTTGGCCATTTGATTGAGGGTAGTTTGACAAGGATTTAGTGCACGGGCTGCGACCTTCTGAGTTCCTCTTCCAAAACGAGTCAGGCAGCTTTTTGAATATGTTCGCTTTCGTCGCCTGTCTTGTAACAGATAGTATTCCGTGGCCTGTGCGAAAGGTTTAGCTTGTCAATCCAATCTAATCCTAAAAAATCCAATCCAGGACAAAAACCCTATCCGTGCCTCGGAAGCTGCATTAGGTTTGGTACGAACAGGGTAATCGAACGAATCTCAAAGGCCAAAATTATGTTTATCATGAAGATTCCATCCTGTAAGCAAAAGCAGTCTATTGTGAAAATCAGAGAAGCACCGTACAGCTGCTTCATCCTATCATCAGCAGTGCACATCTGACGAAATTCCATTGGGCTTCGAATACGTGACCTCCTATTCTGTCACGATCATCTGTTGCATTGGCATACACTTAGAAAGGATATAATGTCACTCATTTTTCAATCGTGTATCCACATCCTCTGGTCAGGTTTTCAATGGCTCATTGAGCGACGAATTATCAGGTGTATCGTGTATATTACTTTTTGCGTCTATTTATAGAATGTTAGTACTCAGAAAAGATTTAGTGATGTCTAGTTGAGATTTCGTCCGGTCGGTGAGGCAAATCTATGCTGAAAGGCCGAGAAGCACTATACATTTGTTACATCCTTATTGAGAATCACTAGCAGTGCACATCCCACGGAACGCAGAGTTTCGAAAACGCTTCCCTCCGGCTTGCGGTTAAACAATTAGCCGTCCCATCTTGCAACGTTCGAAAAGCCGTTGCCGTTCTAGCTACTGTGCTAGTTCCATGTCCGCCGTTGCCGTTCTAGTTACTGTGCTAGTTCCATGTCTACTTCAGTGTCCTTTCAGTCCTCTCAAATTATAAGGCTTTAGTTAAATAAATTGGCCCGGTTGTACGGTGGCAAACACTGGTGTTCTTTCTGAGGATACAGCGAATGGTGACACCATTCAGAATCAAATATCCTGCGGACACTTTTACGTAAAGTTGTCATAGTTTTAACCTCTCTTCTTTGACATTCCAACGAGAATTCAGTAAGGGACATTACTACCGTTGCAACTCCCTGTCTGACAGTACTTGAATCAACATGCATTAAGAATGAGTGCTTTTAAAAAGAAGGAACATAGTACTGCAGAGGTAAGCTAATACCTTGGAAACATAACGGACACATTAGTTTACAAACAACACAGAATTGTGACATTCGACATTCTCTGTATCAGTTTTGTGTAGCAGTTTCTGACGTCAGACCACCTTTTTGTGCCGATCCTTATTGGCTCAATTTTCATTCGTGCTATTCAAGAAAAACTAGAGTGTACTACAAGGGACTTCAAATTAATAGTGAGAAAATGCCGCAGTAGTGGCATTCGCAACTATCAGACAAATAATCTCACTCTTTACAAAATCCATTAATAGTATAGAGTAATAATAGTAATAAAATTTAATAATGAGTTGCTTACACTTACGTAAAGATGGGAGATCCAGAAAATAAACTCCATTTGAGAGTATCTGGCAACGAGGTAGTTTCCTAAAGACATTACGTAGTCAGTGCCAATCAAAAAACTGCTCTGAACCTGGGGTACGAAAGGCAGTTCAGAATCTTTGCGGACTAAGCAGGCGTTGTTGGAAGCTCTAGAAGCTGGTTAATAATTTATTACCACGATAACCATCGGCACATGTTATGCAACGAGTATGCAACGCGCTATTGTCCCTGAGAAGGTTGGTAAGCCTGAACATAGCTGACCGTGTTTGCCCCATGTCGGATGTAGTGACTCACGGGTGGTAGTAAATGCGAATCAAGTCGTTTGCGTTGAAATGCCCACGAGCAGGCATTCAGTGGTGCAGCCAGTGTTCAAAGTAAACAAAGCTCGTTGCTGCTTCAAAACACTGGTAGGCAGAATAGCAACTCTTCTTGAAAATAACATGGCTTGAAGCAGCATGAACCTCATTGCCAGAGTAGGTCTTTGCATAACCATCACATCATCACCAATATTAATTGTACCGAATTCCAGGTTCGCATGAGTGCGACATTGCTATCTTCTTGAATATACATGGCTAAAACATCTCCGCTATATTGCAGAAAAGAAAAAGGCGTTTCCTTCCTGCCGCTTGCTTTGCTTAAGCTGGAAAATGCAAACTACTATGCAGCTGTTCGTCCGTTGTATCTGTATGCTGACCTGTGGGCTATGCCCCAGTCCCGACGTCTATACACCATAGTCCATGAGAGAGTTCTAATTAGAGCGATCCGTATAATTTCTGTTCTCGCAACTATCCC